AGGATCGCGATTATAATTTTCTATGTTAAGTAGCAAGGTTATAATAAAAATTTTAGCGTGTATGTCACATTAATATGATTTTCTTTATTAGGATCTATGTGAAGAAAACTCTCGAATATTTTCTGTGCTTTTTAAGATGTACTAACGCGCATAAACTTTTAGAGAATAACTTTGTTTATTTTTAATTTTTTATAATTACTTGCAGATACAGTTTTCTGGCCTTCTTATACTAGTAATGCTGAGACATCCCAAGACTATCAGCACCACAACCGGTCAGGAGGACGGTAAAAAAAAAACGACATTTTATTCAGGTCGTGGCTACTAGGTATAAAGTGAAAGTGGTCTTAACCGTCCCACGGGCCTGTTTAATAACAATAATGACGTAAAAATATATAACACTGTAGACGAACTCGCTCATAAATGTAAATTATTAATTACTTTATATATCCGTATTATTTCTATTATTTGCAAAAAGGCTACACAATTTTATATCATTATCTCTAGCGTTTTATTGGTTTTTTCATCCGCCAGCGATTTGTTTCAAAATTACCCCCTACGTAATCTCTTCATTATTTAGCACATTTTTGTTTGATAAATCTTGAAATCATTGAAATAATAATACTTTTTTTACAATTATTCGAGGCAATAGTGTCAGCAGTCAGTTTGAAAAATGTGTTATTAAAAATAAACCAGATTAGGTATTTAAGTATAAAGCAACGCACTTATGGATAATAAAGTCAAATTTTGTCTATAGAAATAATTATTTCAATATAATGATCATCGATGGTGGTAATCCATAGATAATAAAATATTATTTGGATGTTTTCATTCATTTTCAAGTATTTAATAAATAAATACTTGAATAAAAAAACTCTTATTTAATAAATAGTTACTATTTATCTAGTTAAATTTCAAATTATAATAAAGCGTATATTGCAAAATAACTTTATTTTGAGATTTTATTTATTTTATAAATTTATCGAAAATTTGGTTTGTTAGGTTATTGTTGAGACTACTGGTGTGCTTGAAACTAACGGACTTGGTAAGCAGTCATTACTTATCATTAATATTATAGCATTTAAACAAATAATGTATATTTACTATTTTATACTAAATGATAATATTATAAAATTTGGACATGGAAATTTGCTATTATGGATTAATTTTTTTAAATTAAATATAATTTAAAGTTACAATGAATTAATTTGTAGTTTTATTAATATGTGATTAATGGTGATTCAAGAATATATTTTGATGAGGATTTGTTGATAATATATTTTTTAAATGTTAGAAGTAGCAATTACTTTAGCTTTAAAAATCATACTATTTATTATACTGTAACACATAAAATATTGATGATTTAACCTTGACATTTACATTGAATTTAATTATACAATACATACGAACAAAAAGTATGTAATAAGTAAGTTAAAATGCATTGATAAAAATCATATAGTTAAGTATCTAGTTCATAAAATTCAATATTTAGTAATTTATCTTCATTATTTTCTAACCATTTAGTAATAGACAATACTTTATAGATGAACAACTGTTCATTAATAGTATTTTACTTTGATTTTATTTGATTATATTTCAAATAATTTACACTGACATTAATTTATATGGTGACTGAGGGACTTCTAAGTAAATGACAAAGTAATAAAAAATTTAAAAAAATGTTGTTTAATGAATTTGGTACAAGTGCAAAAATTAGCATTGTAGTTTACTAATATATTCTGATGATTCATTCAGATTATCGGTTACTGGCATTCAACTGTAAACTTAAACTAAATTTTCCTTTTAAATAATAAAAATTGAGTTTTATATTCGATTGGTTATCAATTAATATTTTAACAATTATCTCCACATAGTTATAGGCGATTATGAGTTAATATGATGAATAGTAATAGTTCCAGGAAAAAAAAGAAAGGTGTTTTTAGGAAAGTTTAATTGCATTGCAATGGTTAAAAAAATATAATTGAGTGCTATGGCCACGATACAATAAATTTATATGAGTGTGTAATGATTGTCAATGTTTGCTTAAATTGAAGTACAAACATTGGCGATGTCTTAATTTTCAAGTGTAATTAATACCTGTTAAAAGTTCGATGTACAATCATTAACTATATAAATTTCTAATAATTAAAGAGTTTTTCTATGTGGTATTATTAAGAAAAAAAAAATTAATTTTGTTAATAACTTGATCTGATGTGTAGGTCAATAGACACGGCCATTTATTTTAGTCAATACTATTACAATTACCTTGTCTAGTATTATTAGGATAAATAATGTAGAAGTAATAATATTGTAGGTTTAAATGATTAATCGAAATAATAGTTTCATTTGAATTGTCGTAAATTATCTAATGGGTGCAATTGTTTCATACCACTAAAATTACCTTATTATTCTTAATAGATAAATTTCATGTATTAACGTTCATAATAAATAGCGTAATTATATATAGAAAAATAATAGATTACACATATTTTATCTATAACAATGACCGTGCTATATGGTTTACTAAGCGAAAAAGATGGGCATGGAAATAGTAACTTCTGATTACATATGTATAAATACATTTTTATATACGTTTATGTTAATTTTTTTTTTGGTTCATGAAGTGCCAAGGACATCTCCGTTTCGAATACCTATTTCAGTTGTCTTGTTTGTGGGGTTTCTCCCTTATGAATATTACGTAATTTCAGATTTATGTAATAAATTAGCCAAATAACATTAACCACTTGATATATTTATAAAATTACTGAACCTAGTGTGATTTAGTACGTTGAACATTATGGCAATTTTATGAGTAAAGCTAAATTTATTAATGAATTCATAAGAAGAAACGACAATTAGTAGTTTAAAAAATGTAAAAATTTAAAGGCATGTCTGTGTTTGTAGCATAAAGAGACTTCTTTATACTACAAAAACGGTTTAATAATTAATTGGATGTGTAGACCACTCTACATAACGTTTTTCGTAATATCTTTTGTCTGGAAGCAGCAAAAAATAAAGAATGGAAAGAGTAGGCAAAACTCAGTATTGATTATTATAAAAAGAGTTTCTTTAATTTTTCAAGAAATTGTGTGAAATATTTATTGTTCTTACTAAAATTATTAAATTAAAACTATAAATCTATGATGTAAGAATATTATTATTATTATATTAGTTAAAGTAAGTTGTAAAATAAATAAAGTACCTAAGTAGTAAAAATTATTCCAAAAAGGAATGAAATGTTTTTACTGTCCAAAGAAAATATCAAAAACAGTTTCAAATATGTACTAACGAGATAGTACTGCGCATTTTTTTTTACTATTCAGTTTCTTACACACGGATGAATGCGCACATTAGGCGCTCCTTAACTTTTTCTAGTTCACTCTTTTTAGTTCATCTAAATTGTCCAGAACATATTTTTTGTTATGGTGATAATAATACATAACACATACTCAATGTATTGTGCATTTAATGACATCGTTATGACCATACTCATTGAAAAAACCTAAGCCTTTTTTAATAGTCATATGTTATAATTGCTATTAATATGATCTCAAAATGTTAGACAATAATTAAAATAATAGGATGATAGGTATATTAGCTAATTAAAAATACTTCGCTATGGCGGATAACAGATATATAAAGTCTAGTATGGTTAAATAAAACTAGTATACATTTATCATTAAAAACTATAAACTAAAATAAAATTTATCAATAATAATACCAAATAAAAATAAAAAAAATTTATATTTATATTAATTTTGTTTTTAGTCTTTACAATGAAATTAGTAAATATTTTTGAACAAAAAATAGTTTGCTGATTAGTTTTAGAAACTTATATATTTTCTATTTAAAAGCATCGCAGTAAAGCTATATTGAGTCAATGCCTTTCACGCATTGTGGTGTAAATTTGAACTCTACTAAGTAGCTTCTGCTTAAAGTTTCCTCGCCTATTGTATATTTATTCGTTATAATTACTACTAATAGGAATTCATAATATTATCCACATTTTGGATGGTAGACATTTTCAATTTCAAGGTTTCGCAAAATGATAAAAAGTCATTTTTACATTTTGAAACAAGTTTTATTATTAAGCTTTATAAACTTCAATAGTCACATATTTTTCTTTTGAAATAGAATCGCTAGTAGGCATAAATGATTAAAAACATCAACGTAAAATAAAGGTTTTTTTTAGTTAATTTGTAGTATTTTATTTAGCTAGAATTATTCATGCAAATGCTTTGAAATTTGTGGTGTCTTTTTTATTCATGAAAGCAATTCATGCGACATTGGAATATACAACTTAAAAAAATGTACATTTGTTTTAATAGTATTGTAAATTATCTTGATGACCATTTTTTTCGTTTTAAAATATTTGTGTAACCGTTATACTGAAGTTTTTAGGCTATTAACGGTAGAGTATATTAGCTTTCATAAGGTAAAGTAACACATTTATTTTCATGACTTTTTGACAAAAATGTGGACACCTGTATAGATACTAAAGGAGTGCTTATGATGGATGTGCACGAAATAAAATAAAAAAGAAGATAGTTACTGTAATGATATTTAGACCAACAAGGACATTTACACACTGATAGCATTATAATGATTCTAAGAGAAAGGATAACTGTATAATATATTTATTTTAAGTTTTTTACTCTATTGATCTGTATTGAAATTTGTGTAAATGAATTATTTTATTTAATATTAATACTAATGCATAAAAACCAGTCAATTCATTTTTTTTAAACTAATATGTTTTGCATAAATACTTAAATAAAATTATGTATTTAAAAAATTGGTGCGGTCACGATACTTACGATAGGAGTCAAGGATACTTATTTGGGATTTAAGTGGTTGTTGTTTTGCATTGAAACTGCTCTTCATCTCTGGAAGATCATCGACTGCGGTAAGCCAGTGGGTAAAAACCACAGGGGTACCGTAGAAAGAGTGATAGAAAGAAGCTAAGAAGGGGGGGGGCACTGACAGGCGAACCAGTTCAGCGAATGGCACCAAGCATCAGTCCGAACCAAGTCGTGATTCCGCGTGCACAAAATATAGTAGTTACAAACCGGTGCACCGAATTGACGATTGTAACGCGTTCGGGCAGAACATTGTTTAACAGTGTCGGTTATTAAGCTTTTATTGCACTTAGATCGTAAAAAAGTGTGCCGACGTTGTTAGACCAGAATTTTTTTTTAAATACACCAACAACAATGAGAGTGAATTTGACGTGATTATTAACTAAAATCCATTTTTTGGATAACATGAACGACCATTGACCGGAAAACGAAGACTACAAGGAAAACAACTTTTCCCGATCGTTTTGTTGCTTAATTTTTTTATTCAAGTCCATTTTTGGAGTACTTAACATTCAGGTTAGTTGGAATATTTGATTACATTGATTGACGTGTGTTAAAAGTAATGCTATCAGTCGTCAAAACCCAACCAAAATGGTTTCAATGCATATCAATCGCACAGATATTGTTTTTTTTTAGTCGGTTATTTACGCTTGAATAACATTTATTTTACTATAAATTGTTGAAGGGCGTATAAGTAACAGTAACAAATCTTTAAATGTCTACAATATTATTAAAAATCATTCGCATACTATTTTATTAAGTGGTAAATATTTTTTTTTTTATAGAAAGAAATTGAATGACAAGTAATTTTTGTATTCAATGATTAAGAATTTTTTTATTCTATAAAAATTAACATAAAAAAGCTGTAGAATGAAATACATTTTTTTCATTATTTATGTTTTTATTCTAAATCAAATTATAATCTCATTTTATAACTAAAAAAAATTAATTTAGCAACCTATCAATCAAATATTGAGCTTATTTTTCTTATTTGAATACAGCAATAAAAATATATTATATCCAAAATAAGTTATAATACGCTTAAAATCTAAATCTCTAATGAGTAGGTAAAAATATTAACAAAGTTATTGGCCCCAAGATTTAACTAGATTTTAAATATCTTTCTAAAAGAAAAAAATATTTCTATAATAAGTCTAGGCATAGCATGACGTAATAATTGTAAGTGTAGCTTATAATTTCATAGTCCATTAGTGTAATAAAAAGAGATAAAGTAATAAGTTATCTAGTAAGTAAAAAAATTTAACTCTTGCAGATTGAATAAATTTATTAGTTAATTACAACATAGATATTGTACAATTTTCTATATATTTTTTGAAGTCATACCTACGTTGATAATGACATAATAACCACTCACTCCCTTCAAAAATTTCACTTCATCCCTCATTAACTACACCTCAAAAATTCTAATATTTTTTAATGTTGTTCATTTATTTCAATTGAATTTTAAAATATACTTACATATTTAATTTGAGGACGAGATCACGGTTATACACTTTTGGTATTATAGAAAAACGAAGTATTAATTGAGATTTTAATACTAGAATCATCAACACAAATATAATTTGAATGCGTTATCAGTTTAATCACAAAGATTCGTTATAATTTATGATTTATAAAAACAAATAAATTGTGTACATTTGTATGTTATTATACATTTCATATCTGATGGACTCTATCAATCAGAACTAACTTACATATTTTCTATTAAACAATTATAAATTTATTTATAATACTACGTTACTTGTTTTGCTTTTACTGCTTTAATTATTGACGATTATAATTTTATTTGTTTAAAATTGAAGTTAATTTTTCAAAAGTAGTCTAATTTACTTGTTTATTTAATAAATAAACTTTGAAAAAGTGCGGATTACTCTTTAACTGTATTTATTTATCTCTTTTTGTGTCTATAGAGTTGTCTACTACAATAGCCTTCGAACTCTTACGAAAACCGGTTAAATTTGTTGGTAAAATATTATAGCCACAATACATTATGATATTTAGACGATTTGTAATTTTGCAAAATACTTTGACATTTAAAATATCTACTTACTATTTTAATTTTTATTCAATCAACTGTTTAACCCTGTGTGTACCTATATTAATAATTGAGAAACATATTTTTTTATCACATTTTTGTTGGCTTTATGCCATGTATATTAAAGCTGTTATGAATATAATTTACTGGATATAGTATTACTTTTATTAAAAATTGTATTTATAAAATAAGAATTTTAAGTCTTATATTTCTTATTCATAGATATCCTAAACGATGGCTATACAATGGCATGCTGGAATTTTTATAGTTTTGCAATTATTAACAATGACGTTTTGTTTGGAAAACGGACTGGCCAGAACGCCCCCAATGGGTTGGCTTGCATGGGAAAGATTCAGATGCAACACGGATTGTAAAAATGATCCTGATAATTGTATTAGGTAAGAATTAATGGAGTTACGAAAAATGTGTTATTTTTCAGTATCATTATTAATTAAATGGTCGTCAATCATGTAATGATAAAATCCGGAAGTTGTCATTTTTATTTAATTTATACAAATCAATGTACTTTAGTCTCCTTCATTTCACCTATTATATTTTGATGTTGTACATTAAAATCTGTAACTTAAACCTTAAAATTATTAAAAATAAATAATATATAAGTGTAGTGCTACAATTTTTTTTGATTTTTAAAAGTATTGTAAAAAAATAGTCACACCGACCTTGTAAGTTGCGAGTAACTAATGCTTTAAGACAGATCCGCTAACATCGTTATAACATAATGTTTGTGGCACTTCAGGGTTGACAAAATCGAGCAATGGTTAACCAAGGTCCCTTTAATGAGAGCAATTTTTCTTGTTTTTTATTATAAACTGTATTGACCATTGTCCATGTCCGGTAGTAGGTTTTTTTAAATTAATAATACTGTCGAAATACATTTTAAGCTTAATCTATTCAGTTTATATCCTAAAATTAATTTTTGTTGACGTTCAAGTTCGTTGTTCTGTACTACTTAAAATAATAATATTATTAATTATAGTTATTAGATTCTACTATTTACTCAAACGTCTGATCGTTTACCCGAGTGTCTTATAGTGTAATCGGCATTGTGATATCATTAAAGTCAAGGGTACGTGACCGCAAAGTTCATCAACGGAGTCTCGAAAAATAACAAATAATATTATATTAAATTAATTCAAGTCATTTCATTTTAAACTACATACTAAATGTAGTTGTACGTCTATGTGTGTATCAATACTTTTAATTTTTGTCCTCGGGAATTCGCACAGCTATATAACAGTAATATGTTATATTGTTAGCAGTTGTTAATTATGATTAATGTGAAATTATTAACAATCATATTTTTCGTGTCCTTTGTATGGCACATATAGAGCAATAACATGACTAGAACATTAANGATACATGACTAGAACATTAAGTATTTAAGGATGACATCATTGCAAAACTTTCATCGCCTTGTCCTGTTTTGGAAGTAGCCATTGTAACTGGACCATCGGAAGTTTTCTTCAATTTTGACAGCTAGTGGATCGACGAATTTGCCAAGGCGTTTAACGCGTAAAAGTGTAACGTAATGCAACGAACAACTATCTATTATAAAAACGTGTGTTATATTTGTATTGGGTTATTATACAGCGAGACCATTGGCTCCACTACTGCAAGCAACCGANCTGGCTCCACTATTGCAAGCAACCGATTGTATTCTCTTGAACGTCCTAGAAACTGGTCTCGATCTCTATTCCTTCCCGTTGGCGATATCGCCATCATTTATCAATGTGCACTNATGACTAGAACATTAAGTATTTAAGGATGTCATCATTGCAAAACTTTCATCGCCTTGTCCTGTTTTGGAAGTAGCCATTGTAACTGGACCATCGGAAGTTTTCTTCAATTTTGACAGCTAGTGGATCGACGAATTTGCCAAGGCGTTTAACGCGTAAAAGTGTAACGTAATGCAACGAACAACTATCTATTATAAAAACGTGTGTTATATTTGTATTGGGTTATTATACAGCGAGACCATTGGCTCCACTACTGCAAGCAACCGATTCTATTCTCTTGAACGTCCTAGAAACTGGTCTCGATCTCTATTCCTTCCCGTTGGCGATATCGCCATCATTTATCAATGTGCACTTTTTATAGGAATTTACTTTAGTAGTATCGATGATATTATGTTTTTACATAATATTGGTACAAAAAATACGGTCACGATTCTGGAGTAAAGCTGAACGACTTTTAGGGTTAGAACGATGGAAGATCACGACCTGAAAAATAATAGCATAGGTCGATATGAGTACATAATTTCACTAACTACGTTTATGGGAAGACTATTGTTTGTTGATCGATCATAATATTGCGTTACAATAAAAATCAGAGAACGCAATCTTCGCCCGTCACTCAAATTCATTGGCAACGATTAGCTCAATAGACCTCAAAGTGTTATTGATATTGATTTTTTTTTATTATTTAATGCAGTCAAAAAGAAAAAAAAAACAATTGTAAAACGACGACATTGAATGTTTTGGTTTATATTCAATATAAATAGTTATTTTACAAAAAAGAACTTGAAATTATAGTTGAATCATTCTTTTACACTCGCGCTTCAACGTAGATTTTTTACGGTACTTTTAATCGATAATGAGAAAAATAATTTTATTTGTCACCGCTACATTCGGTGTAATCATTTTAATATGTAGATAGACTAAATAAATTTCAAGGATTGGATCATTTTTACATTTTAATCTAATTTCAAAAGGTTGCCATCTTAAACGATATGAATTGACAAGTAAAACAATTACCGTAGATATGTACAGTTACGATTGGAATACCAGATCAGATTAGTCGGATGCAACTGTCTCAAGTAAACGAGGAAAAACCGCTAAATTTGCTGTTCTTTTTCTTTCGGATTATTTTTTAGTGACACAGTAACTGAAGCGTTTAGGGTCCATTTTGTTGAAGTCCTTGAACCCGCTCCAAGTGTTGCTTGCAAACGATCTTTTCTCAGTACTTGGGACAACATTGGTGCGCCGAATCAAAATAATAATAGGTATTAAGTTTTTACGATGAATAGAAAACATGAATATTGTATGGTATTATCATTAATCTTCATTTCGCGTATAACCACGTAAGGTCATTTGATGCTGTGTGGCATATGTTGAAAGAAAAAAGAAAAATATAAGCCTCTACCGATTTTGATGAATAAATCGATGCGTCAAATTTTTCGAATAACATAAAGATTATTAAAAAATAACATTGATACTAGTTATTATTTTATGCCTACAATCTGTAATTGAATTATCACCGTACCCATACAGTTAATGACCGTGTTGTTAGTATAAATTTGTAGGTTCCCATGCAATAATTATTATGCGTATCCTTATTACTTCCTTCTCGGTAACGTGTACATAAAAATTTTTGTACTGCATGTTTTATTAAATCACTGTATTGTTATTGTTTACTTTTAAAGTCCTATTAACGTTATTTAACGTACAAATGAGTAATATAGACGTGATTAGACAATAATTATAATAAGCTGTCATACACATGACTAATGTAATGTTGTTTCGATTGAAGATATCTCCTTTAGATGATTTTGATTCTGTTCGTTTGACACATTTTGCTCCGAACACGAACTACAATAATTACTGTAACAATTCAGCTTTTTTTTTTTTCAATAATTAAACTCGGAGGTTAATAATTATGCACTTTAAGCACAACTATTCTTGAGTAAACAAAATTGAAATGAATTTTTAATCGTTCTGTAATTTTCTAGTACATTTATTAATTGTTAGGTATCATTTATATCTCTTATATATAGAGTGTCCCATGGTGATTTACTAATTTGACTTATAAACTAATGTTAAAATTAGTAAATCATGGAGGACACCTATATATTGATCATAAAAAATGTGCTAAACGAATCGAGTTTCTTTAGTTGTGAAACGTAACATTAAATTGAAGCTTTCCACATCGTTCGAACATATTTTTTTAAAATAACTTAATTGGTTTATTTTAACAGCGAAAGGCTGTTTAGAACCATGACAGACATTGTCGTAAATGAGGGTTACTCAGCCGTTGGATACGAATACATCAACGTAGACGACTGCTGGTTGGATTTTTCACGATCATACGATGGAAGATTACAACCCGACGCTAAAAGGTTTCCTAGAGGAATGGCCGACTTATCTGAATACGTAAGTACAACACATGATATAAAAAAAAAACAATTTTTTAAATACGAGACTCGTTTGTCGAATGTCCAGGAAAAAGGCTACCACCTTAAATCAAAACTAAAATTATTATTGTAATTGGTATCGTTGTTTTTATCAAAAAATTATTGCTGTTATGATAGGATTTTCTATTTTCTATTTAATTTCCTCTTTCAATCTAAGAACGTCATAGTTATAAATCATGAAATGATTTTAGAACATATAAAAATATATTATATTATATTATAACTATTAATATATAAAAAATATATTTGTCAAAGACAAGTATTTTTTCTTTGTAAATAATGTGAAATTGTCTTGATTTGAATTGTTAGAGATAATTATGGTAATTTTTGATTACCGTTTATTACAAGAGAAGTTACCCATGAAACTAGTGTGCCTATTTATTATACATCCAGTAATATATTTTCTAGTTGAATTCATGTAGCGTGTGTAGTTTTAATAGGTAATTATTTTAATGAAAATTAACAATCTCCGACTCTAAAAATTTCGTTTGTACATCGAATGGTATGCATAATTATATATCTGTTAAGCCCTCGTGACTTTATTATGTTTACATTAGAAATAATTTTCATTCAAAAATAAATTGAGAGTATTTTTTTTTGTTAATTCTATACCTGATAATTTATACATATTTTTCTATTATATTTTTTTATACTACGAATGGATTTTAACGTTTATTAATTTTAAGTAAAGTTTTACTTTCATTGAGGAAAAGTTATTTTAGAAAATAAACGTTATAGATATTATTGTATAACAATATTATTATTAGATTACTTTTACTCTTATTGATTTGAAAATATTTTTAGAGTAAATCCCTATTTTACTCAACTGGTTGTTAGTAAATAAAAAAAAATGCTAGTTGTTAAATTTTTAAGCATAATGATTTATTTCTATGTCATTTTAATTCAATTTAATGTGCACTTATTAAAATATCTAACAAAACTTTTTTTAACTTGAATTATTTGTTTATAAAGAGATGCCATAATTGAGGATTGAGCTATACATGCGTTCACTGGCCATGAAAACTATAGTTTTAGGTGAACTAGTTCACCAAGAATAATTAAATCATGTTAAAACTATGCACCTAATAGATTTGTACTTTATATTCTCGTTTATATTTGTTCTCTTTAATAATACCAACTGCAAAGTACAATTATTATTAGCCGATCTTTGTTTTTGTTACCTAACCGCTTAAGTTCGTGTAAGTGCAAAATTTCGCTTATATAGTACGAATAAATATGGTATTATGTGTGAGCTAAACAATGGTCTTTGTATTGTGAAGTCTTTTTTTAAACAAATATTTTTTTTTATTGCAAGAACAAATATTACTTAAACAATTTTAAACAGGGCGTGACAGTGATGCGACCAATTTGCATGAGCTATAACGAGACAACAGGATATTAATTTTGTTTTTTAGTTCATCAAAAAGAGTGTCAGGTAAAAATAGTATCCATTAAAAAGATTCCTTAAATTACGTCGTAAAATAAACTGAGTTTCGTGAAAAAATAATTTTAATAATAACATGATTTACTATAACACTATTATTACAGTATGGGCGAGACCAAAAAAATTATTATTATACATGTGTGTCTATTAAAATGGATTGCTAGTATACATGGATAGAGTTTAAATAAAAATATTAGTAGTCATGCTAGTTTTTTGTCTTTGTAAATATCTCGATTTTTCTGTAACTTGAATAATTAATGAATAGTGAATTACGTAATATAAATTGAAACTATAAGAGTTTTTATCTAATATTTAGATGGAATTATTGTTCAGTAAGTGATAAAAAGTAACTGAGAATTAGTAAATATTGTGGATTACTTATTTAGAGATTTTAATTGTAGAATTTATTTATATAAATATTTTTGAATTATTTTATTGATAACGTTTATGATTGTTTATTTAATTACGACGTATTTTTTTTATGTTGCTTCATTTCATTGTTTGTTCTTTAAATTATATATTATTAACACATATAATATATTGTGATAATTGTAAGTAGTATAATAAAATAATAGGTAGAGTAAACTGGGGTAGGTGTTCAAAATTGAAATAAACAATTTAATTATATAGTTATAGACCAATTGTTGATAAAAATTAAATTTTAAACCATGTTATATGTTTTTTTTAGTAGTTATAGAATCATAGAGTTATATTTGAATATATTATATAGCTTATAAAATTTTATTGTACTTTTATATTATATGTCACTCATTTAGAATATTATTTTTACTTCAATTTTTTTAATTGTCTTGTTGTTTTTGAGAAAAAAAATTATTACTGAGTCTATAACTCTGTTTTTTTGTTCATATAATTAAATATCATGATATTGAATTGCAAACTTACTAAATTCAATAAACTTTATGAACTGTTATTTAGACTTAAAATATCTGATGATACTTATATTTATTAATTTGCTTGTTAAAATTTAAGCAATACTAAGTAAACTCTTACTTCATTAATAGCGTTAAAATACGTTTTTACTTTATATTTTGTTTCAGTTTATTATTCATTAATTAGAAATATAATCTCACTATTATTACTTAATTTGTATTTTTTAATAGTTTGCCTAGCTTGAAAAAAATATAATATAATAATGATACTTATATGTGCGATATGTAAATATGGTATTTACACATCTCATATACAAGTTATATGCGATAGAAAAAAAAATATCCACATTTACCTTAAGTTACTCTGAATTGTTATTTTTTGATAAAATAAATGAAATTATTTCTTTCTCTTTATTATCTCGAACATAATTTTATCTATTTCATCTGTTAGTGATTTTTCATATTGTTAATTTTTTTCTCATTAAACTAACTATATATTACAGCTGTTATTACTTAAAATTCATACCGTGTCATATGTACATAAGGTACTGATTAATTCCCAGTACTGTTTCATCATGTTGGTTTTCAGTATTCACACCATTTATGTCATATTTTTTACTGTTATTTAGTCAAATATATATTTATGGAAATTATACCTGTTTTGTACGAGGCAACTAGCCTGTAGGACGGCTAGTAGAGCACCGCACTAGAATGCCGTTTTACCTTAAGTCTGTTTAAATCGCTAATTATTGAAGGGGGAATGGGTCACCTAGGGGATGACGGCTAACGGTACATCCAATAAGTAACGAGAGTAGACAATAATTAAATAACAAATAACCACATATATTAGAAATTCTTCAGAGAGTATCTTAAGTTTAAGGGGTAGCGGTGGGCCCTTAAATAGTAATGGCCGTCGAAGTGGCATAAAACAAAATATTATAAAACATAATATAAAACTCAGCTGAATAGGTGAAGTTGTTGATAGTGATGAGTGGACTGTATGAGATCTTGTGGTAATGGTGTCGAACATCTGAGTATCACGAGTCAGAGTGTAGATCCAGGCACGTAATGGCAGATAAGAACAGACGGCGGAAAAGCGATTATGGCAGTAAGTAATTTCGTGATGGTCAGGGCCCAATCATTGGAGGCGTATAAGGGCACGAGAACTTGAGCACAAGGGCGCAACAACAAATAATAAAAACTAATGCGTACAACGGCCGAGCAATTTACTATTCAAGCGAAGGCGCTTGCTACAGAAATACGATGACACATAAAACAATTGACTGACTGACTTACGACAAAAAAAACTGTACATGGATGACAATTGACACGGAGGTCATCGATTTATCGTGTTGGGTGGGCAAGGGAGTGAGTAAAGCAAGACGCTGGAGATCAGCTGCCACACGATATAATATAATCAACGATGTTTGTAACAACTGGTCTACTAGATCTTTGCTAAAGATGTTCTGTACCAAACAATACCTTCGTAACATATAAATATTTTTACAATATTAGATTTTAACTAAGATCTATTTAATGTTTACCACATAATATTATGTGGGCATGTTTTGTTGTGTAATAATGTGCGACCTAGACTTTGTGGCATTTACACACATGAGGGAGCAACAACAATAAATGGAATGAAAGAGAGCACGTTATTCTTTTATATCCTTCTAATTTTAGTGTTTTTTTTTCATCAGTTGACTTACCTATATTATAAAATATACGATTGTGGGTGTTATTATTAATCTTAAAGTGAAAGTTTGGTGCAACTAATGACTTTTTTACATTAGACCCACGAATGATTTTAGCGTCAAATTGTGTATACCAACCACCTGATGGTAATAATAGATTGTTATTGTTTTCGCATGTGTTGTAACATAGTGGATCTAAGCTGACAAATATTTATTAGCATACGTGTGATCAAAAATCAATAATATTTTTATAATTAAACTGACTATAATTGACATATACGTTAATATATAGTTGTTTACATTACACTTTATGTGTTACGTTGATAATAGCTTTTGCTATTATTTTCATTGAATCGGTGTAAAAAACTCAAGTGAAAGCCTCTAGATTTCCTGAAAAACGTTTTTCATGTGTCAATGATGTACGTATTTTAGCTTAATATAATTTCTATTATTTAAACATTTTTCCTAGAAAATGGTGAAAATTCTACTTTTGTACATATATATTCCGTTTACTTAAATGTATCAAAGTCATTATTATGTCAGGATTTACTATAGTTATCTCACAATAAACATTATGTCTGTGACTTTTTATTAATAACTAAAATGTTTATTTTATAGGAGACCAAAAAAAATGTTCTCATGATAAATAGTAGAATAATTTTTAGCACTATTTTTGTTTCCTTAAAAATATATAAAATTGACATATCAGTTTTGGAAAAGTAGCCATTGAATTTATTATAAACAACACATAGTGGTACCATGTTGAAATAAAACTGTTTGATTTTTAGGTTCACTCAAGAGGCTTGAAGTTTGGAATATATGAAGATTATGGAAATTTCACATGTGCAGGGTATCCTGGAGTCCTTGGATCTCTAGAGTTAGATGCGTTCACATTTGCTGAATGGAATGTAGATTTTGTAAAGTTGGATGGATGTTACTCGCTACCAAAAGACATGGATCAAGGTAATAAACTACTAATATTTAAAAATAAATAAATTTAAGTAAGAAATTAATAAATTTCATATATCTATTTCAACATCATATCTTTGAGAGTCAAAAAGACCAAGTTAATAATATGAGGATACATGTTATCATAAGTTGAAGTATGAAAAGATTTATTAAAAGCATACGTATTGTTATAAAAAGTTATTTTTAAGAAAAAAATTAATTACATTTTATCCTCTCAAAATAATTTTAATTTTGAACACCTATAAATGACATTGGTTGTCACTGTATATATTCCTAATGGACAATCATCAACCTAGAAGTATAAATGATTAAGAATATTTTCTTGCGAAAAGACAGCTGAAGTTCTTGGTGAGCCGTTTTATCTGGGTAAAAAAAACTCATCTATATATACAGAGTACTCACTGAAAACTTAAATAACTTTTGATCCAGTTAATATTTTTAGCTAATTTTTTTTTAATAATATTTATACGTTAGGTTTATAATTATATCTTAATAATTCATTTTTTTACATTATATTAAAATTTTAAATAAAATGTAAAAAAAAAAATCTAATGTAGGTATTTTACAGAGTAGATTATAAGAAAAATGTTGGTAAAAAAATATCTTATTAATTATTAAATTCAGTAGTAAATATTCTGTAGTATTTTAAAGTTTATGAAAATTTGAATTTTCATGTATTATTTTACGGCATTAAACATTGAAATACGTTTTGAGAAAAGGACAGAAGAAAACACTACCTTTTCATGATTACTATAATTTGGAGGTGTGTAACTTTTTCCATGAAAATTACTTACGCATTTGAGAATGAAAATGATTAGTAATAATTGCTTCATCAAATTTCTTATTATCGTATTAATACCAAGTTTGTAAATATAATAGACCTTATAGTTAGTATAATATAAATCTTGACTCGTCATAAATAAATTTTAATTTTAGTTAGAATTAGTAGTCTTGTCTCTAAGAAGATAAAACTGCTTATTAAGTAATAGGTATTGTTCGTATTTTTATTTGAATTAAAGCCGGTCATTAGAACGTTAACAATTTTCATGAAAAAATCCATTATATATATCATATTTAGTGTGAAAAGATTGTATTTACTTCTGTCATTTTTTATAAAATATAGTCGGCGTTTGATACCGTAGAATGAATACAAAAAAATAAGAATTTTTACAAAATTTAAAATGTTACAGAAAATTAACTATGAAACATTAAAAAGAAATTTTTTCACCAAATTATTTCTTAAAATTTATTCTAAAAAAAACGGTAGCACAGTGGGGTCGAGGCACAGTGTAGACAAGGCATAGATGGGACAAGTATAGATGATATTTGACAGTGATTAAAATCACTATCATAAGAAACGCTTCGATGCAAATCTGTAAATAGTGTTTCATTTAGAGAAATTGGTGGATTATTCCAAAAGCAACATCAACTCTTATTTCTTTGATTATATCTTAATTAGTAGTTCTTTGATTTTAAAATATAATATACGAATAAATACTAATTATAATTATTAAATTTAGTATGAAATTGATATTTAATAATTTAATATTGTAATTTAAACGGAGAAATTATAAAAATAATAAAGAAGTTGTATTTTGCTTTATTTTTACGTGTATAAAAATTTAAAGGGCTTGATACAATAAATTTCAATAAAAACTGTTTGTTACTATAAATAAATGTACTGAACTACAAGGAACATTCATCAGTAACAAAAATATACCATTCTAAATCAACTTTTCGCGATGTTTTCAAATCTGCAATTAGACTTATTCTATCACTTCCAAGTTTTAATATTATCAAAAATTAGTATTTACATATAAAAAATTCGCATCAAAGCTAAAAAATTGGCTATTTAAGCTAACTCAAATTTAAAAAATAACTTTTTCGACTTTAAAAAAGTAAAAAAAATTTAATAAGTTTAATTTTCTATGTCCTATGAACTTTATTCGATGTCAATTAAATTATATAATATTCATGAAAGTCAATATATTCTCCTAATAAGATATTTTAAAATAAAATAAAATACAAAACCTAGAATTTTAATAGAAAAATAGCATATTTTTGAATACGGTAGCCATTTGCGCATAGAAGATAGGTCGTCGGGACAAATTTTTTTTTTCATTTTGTAGTACATAAAATAAATTTTAATTTGATATATGTTTAAAGGACGCAGGATTTCCGGAACATTTTCAAAAATTAAGTTGAAAAAGTTAGTTTTTGTAAAAAAGTTGCTATTTTAAATCCCCCCCAATGAGCAGGTTAAGTGTTAGATTTTCAAAAAATGATATCAAACGAAAGGGAAATATCTAAGGTTTTAGTATAAAAAAAAATTATGTTGATTTGTTGATTTTTGAAAAAGTTATGGAAGTTTTAAGAAAAAAAAGTGAAAAAATTTCGAAAATTAGCGATTTTTAAATTTGTAATTTTTTTGGATATTTCCCCCATTTGCGGGGAACGAGGGAATTTTTTTCAATTTTTAAGGGTAATGTCTTCAACTAGATACGATTTGTGATCTTTTGACGTATCATTGAAAGAAATCGGTTCGGTGAGAGCTGAGAAAAAGTGGCAACAGACATAAAAAAAAAACACATCATAGTAAAATTAATACCTTCTCAGCTTCGCATCGAAGCTAAAATGGCTATTTTGAATTTTTTTTAAATATTTCTTGTAAATTTTTAAAATTATAATTTTTTTATTAAATTATAAAAATGATATATATTACATTTTTATTATAGGCCATAAGTATATTAAATATTAAAAAAATAATTAGCTAAAAATATTAACTGGATCAAAAGTTTTAAATAAAATAGATAAAAGTATATACCTGTATATAAAGAGTGTTCAAAAATTAGGGAAACATGTCAATTGTTGTAAACAATGAGAACAATACTAATCCTTTTCCTTACTTACTAAACACTGTATATAATTTTTTTTGTTTAGGTTACAGTGAATTTGGTTATCATCTAAATAAAACTGGCAGACCCATGGTATACTCATGTAGTTGGCCAGTATATCAGACTTATGCTGGAATGCAAGTGAGTTCCTTTTTATTTCAATTCAAAATTATTTCTCCTTATATGAAACTACATGCATTATAAATGTATGAGCTACAATGAAACAAAGTGTGACAAGCTAAATATTAATGTCAGATTTATACATTGTTTTAGGATGTCCTCTGTTTCTCTTATTTTTTATTTGTCCTTCCAATATTCTATGGTGTATTTCCTCCTTGTGTCTTAAAGTACGTCCAAATAGTCTCTAGATTCACCTATTTGATTAAGCAAACTATCTCCGTCACCATTCGATTTCGAAGCTTTCTAAATATTTTTTTTTATTCATTCATCACCCAAGACTCTGATCCGAATAGAGCCATGCTCCATACTACAAACACTTTGATTTATCGTTTTCTCACATGGATATTAATCTTCTTGGAGCATAGTACTTTCTTATGGTTTATAAATTTGAATTTTGTCTGCGCAATCCTTGTTTTAATTTCCTTAGTGGTATTGTCATCATGGGTGATTATATCGGCTAGGTATTTATAGCTTTTACTTATTTTAATAGCAATTTTCCACTTAAATTTGGAGTTTGTGTCTTTGTTGTGTATTCTGGCATATCATATTCTTAGTATTTTTCCAGTTTAATAATGTTTTAAATTGTTCTAAATGTGATATAATAATTTGAAAGGTAATATATTTCAAAACATAGATCGAAGAGGAAGATATACAGATCGATTCGATCGATTCCACTGATTCCGAATATGGCTTTAGATTTTTCCTATCACATCTAGTTTATAACATAATTACTAATCAGTAATTAAGCGATAATTTCATAGTAAAATTGTCATAAAATATACATATTTTTTTAACTTTCCTAAAATAATTTTATATTATCTAATAAGATTTATGCAAATTTTGGGACTGTTCTATTAAGTTCAACCAATTTTTTGAATAATTAAAATAGAGTTTAAGTAAGATTAAAAAAAAAAACTGAACTTTTGAGCATAACTTATTTGGTTTAACTAAAATTATGAAATTTTAACCTGAAAATATTATATTTGAAAATATACATTCAAAATTAACTTAAGAGTTTCAAAAGATTTTTTTTAATTTTGTAATCTACTCCCACCTATAAAGATTAATTAGATAGTGTTTTATAATAAAAAATTATTCAATTTTTTATATTGGTTTATTCAATATATTAATAATTTTTTTTACATTAATAGTTTTTTATTTTTAAATTAGGTAAACAATATTAATAAAATAACACATTTTTTTACTTGTTTTAAGCCAAATTATTCAGCTATAACGGAAAGATGTAATTTATGGAGAAATTTTGACGACATTCAGGATTCTTGGGCGAGTGTTGAGAGTATCATAGACTACTATGGTGATCATCAGGATATAATTGCAGCAAATGCAGCACCGGGACATTGGAACGACCCTGATATGGTACTTAAGATCAATTTATACATTTTTGACAAAAATTACACTGTTTTAGTCATAACGACTATATATATATATTTTTCAAAGGAATAAAAATTAAAAAAACACGCTAGAGTAAAACCCACAGCATTTCAGCTATGCATCGAAACTAAAAAAATGATAAGTTCAGTTGGGATCCAATAAAGTAGAGATGAGTCATTTTTTAGATTTATATTGATTAAAATCTAACAGATATTAAAATCATTGTCATATATATGTGATTCATATTAAAAAAAAAAAATTACATATCCATTAGAAATTACATGACTTTGTATTAACAGACCAATTTACTTGAATACCAGCTGTCGGAACGTTTATATTTTTTAATCGTATAGTTCATTAAATAAGCTATAATTCTATTTAGTTTTGAGCGACGCAGATGTTACGTTGAAAACACTTAAAAATTGACCATTTTTAACGAAATTGTATAATTTTTAGCTTTAATGCAAAATAGCTTTAACTTCTAGAAATCGAAATTCGGATAATTTTTCATTTTTAATCTTAAAAATATTGTATTAGTTTAAAATAAAGTAGGTTTAAAGATGACAAGTTTTTCTGGAGCATTGTCAAAAATTTTAAATTATAATTTTGCCCCCACGCAGTACTTTGGTTATTATAGAATTAAAAAAAAAGGTTTTGTTATTGATGAGGTAAATTTCTAAAGGATCACTAGTAAATATTTCATAATGATCTGTTTTAAAAAAATTTATTTAATATAAGTTGGAACTACAAATACCAACATTTACTGTGTTTATGAGAATTGTATTTTTGGGATATTTTTCTCTATTATACAGATCGAGGCGAATTATTATTAATTAATTATTCAGAAAACTTTAAATTATGATGCTAGTAGCTCCAACTAGATACATTTTTTGATCTTTTGACATATCTCAGAGTGAAATTGGTTTATTAGGAGTGGAGTAATCGTATTTTAAATTAAATAAGAAATGATCTTATTAAAAACGGACGAGTTAATAATAATTTATGAACCAGTACTTCAGAAGATTTTAAAATATAGATTGTGGTAGAGGCGCTTGTATGACAATTTACATCATTAGACATTTCTCGCCTGCATTCCCTTTCCATGTAGTTAAGTGAGTTGCTTTATACGAACATTTAATTTCTTAATACTATCCCTTTACCCTAAACTCAATTAACTTCGATTTTTAAATTACAACACCATTTTTTTTTATTATTAGATTTATTCAATAGAAAAAAATCTTTCATTTAAAAAAATTAATTCATTTTATTCGATTTACAAGATGCAGCTATTTAAAGTTTAATTAGGGTGATTAGAATAAAAATCGTACTTTTTAAAAGACGGTAACATTATTATGTGGTAAAATGATAAACACTACCAGTTCATAGAAATACAACAAACTTTAAATGCATGTTCATTGCATTGTTTCAAACCGGTAGCTTTTATACATTTATAGCGTTCTCGCCTTGTACAATAAATGTTTATTTTTTCATCTCCTATTAACTTAAATGACTCAAAACTCTTTGGGGATTGAATAAAATTCAAACATTTGCCTATAAAAATCTTTTTTTAATTCAATTTATTTAACCTAGTAGTAAAAATATATTAGGGCTTTCGTATGAAACACAAAAGTTGACAATAGTTAAATGATTAAAGGATAATAGTAGAAATTTTATTTTTCTCATAGAGTATCTCAATGAAATTTTTATTGCAAAAAAAAATTAATAGCACTTACATTTTCAAAAATATTTCATGGAGCCTAGTTAAGGAATTACCATGTATGTAAATAAACTATACCAAATATTTTTTTTCAATATTAAACTTATTTTGCGAGTAATTGAATATCATGATAAACGGATTAATCTCAATAGGGCTATGTTATGGTTATATTGATACAACGTTATTATAATAAAAATTACAGTGCAATAATATTAACCAATGTATTAGTTGTGATGAAAACCATTTGCGTTTTATTTAAAAATTTTAAATGAATTAAAGCACTTTTTAGTACACAAAGTATTTCTATAATTGTATTTAATAACACCTTAAAATGAATTGAGTATACTACCAGTATTCGAATTCAAAATTAAATCAGATATATGTGAGATATTACACAATACGTAATAATTAACAAATTTTTCTCTGGGAATTTATTACTGCTTGATATTGTTGTTGTTGACTCATGGGATAATTGGATAATACCAAAATTACATTTTCCCACAATATTAAGTTTTGACTGACTCGTTTTTTCTATAAATTTTAGTTAATTATCGGAAACTTTGGACTTAGCTACGAGCAAAGTAAAGTACAAATGGCTATATGGGCCATTTTAGCTGCTCCATTGCTTATGTCTACAGACTTGAGAACTATTCGTCCAGAGTATAAAGCAATTTTGCAAAACAAAAAAATTATTGCCGTCGATCAAGACCGTCTTGGAATTCAAGGACGAAGGATTTACAAGGTCAGTATATAAATACACATTTTTAATGTATTCCTTGTTTTTAATAACTTTAAAGTTCAGTTTTTTATTTTTTCGTATGTTGAATATTTGCAGTAAATAACATTATACTTTTTGGCGGTGGTGTAATCAGGAGAGCTACCCTATTAACAGAAATATTTATCTCTAAATGAAGTAATGAGTAAAATAAAAGAGGTGCAAAATTCGCAGTTTTGCAGATTTTTTTATTGACACTCTCGCCGTTATGAAACACTGGCTACACCATTAGTTTTTGGTGAACTGCGACACTCCCATTGCATTGGCTTCCTTAATTTTCCCGTAAAATAAGCGATTAATTGGTTAACACATTTGACGTAACTTTTGCTGCTATTGTTTTACGATGAGTTCTCATAAAATTACAACTGCAAATACGGTGAAAGTTTTAAACGTGTAAACATATTTAAAACAGTTCCACGCTTATAAAACACATCTTCAGTAATACAAAGACATGGGCATTTATTTAAAGGTGTTATGCTGTAGATAATTGTTAAAACGAACCAGATAATAAATTAGAACTACTAAAGACTTTTCATATATTAAATCTGTCAATTATATTGCATAAAATGGAATATATTCTGTTAAATATAGGAAAGACATAATATATCTTGTGTATTTTTTTTAGAAAATATTTGTATATCAGTCATAGAAAAAATGATAATTATATTTATGTAGTTTTAACATTTTATATAATATTTGATTTTAAGAAGTTAAGAAATATACATTTTTGGATATTCTATTGTTTATTTAAAGACTAATTAAAATTTATAATATTTTGTAGAAAATTTTGAATTTTTTAAAAATTTAATAAGTGCTTTTTTTTGTTTTATAGCATAAGGGCATTGAAATATGGGCACGACCAATTACGCCAATTTTTGAAAACTATTTTTCGTATGCTATTGCTTTTATCAACCGAAGAACAGATGGAACTCCATCCGATGTTGCTGTTACCTTGTACGAAATGGGATTATTGTCTCCTACAGGATACAAAATTCAAGTAATTATTGATTTGACAAAATAAAATTATTTATTTCACTTTTAATTTTGCTTAGGATTTATATGAAGACGTTGACTATGGCGTATTAACTCCTCAAACGAAAATCAAGGTCAAAGTAAACCCCACCGGTAAGTAATAATGAATTAATTTTAACCATAATTACATTAAAACGCTGACAAAAAATTAATTGTTGAAAGTATAAAAAAAAATCTCCACTAGGTAAAATTGTAATTTTTTTGAAGTAGACAATCAATTTCAATATCTCTCTATAAACACTTAATTATAATTATTGCTATAATTTTACGAAAATGATTAAGAATCAAAATGTCAATAAATTATTTTATCTATTTAATTTTTCTTTTAGGAGTTGTTATATTGAGAGCTGACGTGCAACCCGGATTAGTAAATCAACAACCATTTTATAAACCGTATAATCCATTTGCACAAGTATATTCTCCCTTAAGGACGTCTAACTCATTTCTCAAGAAATGATCTATTTTGCTTTTTCAAATAATAAAAATTATATGTTTGAATCAGCAAAACACACTCGTGTAATCAAGCTTTCATATCAAAATTTTAAAATGAAGCCAATCTTCGTAGTTAAATGGAGTATTACACTTAAAACGGGTTTGTATACACGAAAATATAAAAACAATTTTTTCGAACTCACTCTAGTTCAACAATCATGTTAATATATTTTATTGTAAAAATTAATGAATAAAGAAATTATTAATTCTATGTATTTCTTCTATTATGTGATATTTTTGTAAAAAAAAAAAACATTTATTATATATAACATTATTTTTAATGTTTTATTTGATACGTACAAAAAATTGCAAGTATATTTATAGTTGAATAAATAATAAAAAAATGATATGCCAATAAAATCCGAATTTTTTAGCAAGTACATCTCTTTGGATGAAATTGGACTGAAAATTATTATAATAATCAATTAATATCGTAGTTTTTTATGAGCCATGTAGATTTTTATACTCATTATTATTATTATTATTTCTTTTTTTAACACTTTATTTATTAGCTCATTAATAGACATAGCGGCCTCTCCAAATGAGAAGGTTTCTTAACCATTGATACTCCGGGACGGGTGGTTAGTCTGTCACGCGGAAAGAGGGATGGCGACTCTAATTATTATTATAATTATTTATGTCACATTTTTGAGTATCGCAGTTTTTGATGATTATATTTTTATCACTATCATATAAAAATCTATATTAAATTCTCCGGCGTTGGATGACAGTTATACTGGTATTTTTTTTTGCTACAACCATTTGTATTCATAAAATGAATTTATAGAATTTATTTAACAAAAATGTATGTTGTAAAATTAGTTTATTTTTAAATCGATATATTGGCTTGTTATTTGATATCATATAATTATATTGTAGAATTGTACCAAATGAAAAAAATAGTTCACAGTGTGGACCACGTAAAATATATATTATAATAATCATATTATTATGATAATATTATTAAATGCAAACGTGCCTTCTTCTATCACAATACGTTTGCTTTTATCCGACAGCCCAGTGTCCTTTATTGATAATAAATTTATTCGATTTAGAAATACTTGACACAAAATAAATGTTTTTTTTTGTAAGTGCAGTTTGATATTTGACAACCCACAATGTCCTACTGAGAATACAAACTTACACTCGGTAGACTGAACTTTTTTTATTTCATTGGCTTCTCTTAAAAAAGAAAACTGTGTTTGCAATGTTGTATTGAAACTACACTGTCTCTTGAGCATATTACTAATATATTTAAATTTTAGATATCAAAAAAATGAATATCTCAACTTAGCATAGTAAAACAATTACAGAATATAATTGAAAATTGTTAAATTGAAAAGTTAAATAATACGTGTTAAATCCAAAACATAAATAAAAAGGTGATCAACTATGTAATATCATAAACATTATGATTTAATTTAAGTACGGCAAGAGTATTAAAAAAATGTCTACAGTGGTCAAAGTTTCAAAATATAGAAATTGCTGTTGTTTGACATTTCTTTGCAGTGAACATGGAACTTAATTAGAATACCTATAGATTATAACAATAAAGCTCACAATAAATATCAACTTTAATTTAGTTATAACGTTAAATTCATAATTCTATGACATCATTTTTAGTTTTTTTATGGCAATTTATTTTTAATTGTCTATAAACTTAATTTTTTATTTGTTAATATGATAATCCATAAATAAATTTGAAATTTCTATAATGCACAATAAAATTTAAACAGTCGTTTTTAAGTTAAAAATAATGTTATATTTTCAATTTTATTGTTACAATTTTTTTCTGAAAAAACCAATCTTAATTTAAATTTTTACCTTTGTCGTCGATAAACATTTTTAATATCAATAAAAATAGTGTTTATAAACTAATCTTTTGAATTTGTTTGATATCATTAATAAATTTTAACATTGATAAAGGTGTTTTAGTCGTTAATTTACAATGAAATGGTTTTTAATTAATATAATTTTTTTATATTCATTGAATAATATGATATGTACTAAGATCAAGATAAATTATGAACTTAATAAAGATAAATACAATAAATACGTAGAAGCAAACAAAACAATAATGGATTTAAAAATAAAGTATCATAAAATTTACACTGCACCCGAAACTGTTAAAGCTGATCAAGAAAAATTAAATTTTAATTTAAACGATGATTTTACTGCTCCAACGCCCTCACCACCATTGGAGCCATATAAATGTACTGCTCCAGTTGCTATATATCATATTGATGTTATTGGTAGAACATTGTACGATATTGTTGAAGAAGCTCGTCAAAAAGAACAATATTTCGAAGGAATGGTATGGATCCGAAATGTAATTGAAAGTATAGGAATATCTATGATAATTCGATTTTGCAAAGTTATTAAAATTATGTTACATATTCCAAATGTATACATAAGATCTATGTTTAGAAATTATGAATATAATTTTATGAAGTTGAAAGACAAGTTTGAAGAATACATCATACGTACTGAACCAGTAGATGAATGCTTAAAAATGTTAAATAACTATATACTTGAGAATGCGAACGCATTTACAAAAGAGAAGTGTTTTATTCAATGTAACAAAATTATTAAACGTTATTCAAATTGCAGTGATTTAGTGAATCTTCCGGAGTGGAAATCTTTTTCCATAAGGACGGAAAATGTTATAAAATTAAAAAATATGCTATTTATGGTGTTTTTTAATACTAGAATATGTAACCTATTTCAATAAAAAATTACAAAAATTTAATAAAACAAAAACGATATAAATTATTTTGAAAGAATTTTATGTAAAATACTTTGTTATAATTATTCTGTAAATAGATTACACCTCTATATATAAAATTTGTATTGAATAATAAATTCATAATTATATCATATACAAAAATAATGTCGAGAAAAGTAATGCTTTGAAAACATAAGTATGTAGATATTTTTTAAAATCATTACCTGAATTTTATGAGAACACAGAATTTTTTTCCTAAACACAGTATCATTTGATATTTTTAGATATCGCAATTATATGTTTTTGTGACCCGTAATTATGTTTAATTTTAATTAAAATTCTATGCACATGTTTTTAGAGAATTTTTTTATTTTCTTATGAATTCGAAAGATAATCTTTAGTTTGTCTATTAAAATTTTTTAGCAAAATATCACATATGTTGATGAGGTACGGAAGTTGTATTGGGTATTTTTTTTTAATAACAATTGTTTTTTCTTATATCACATTGTAAGTGATTTTTTATTAAATGTACAATCGATCTATGGCACGTTGGTTATGCCTGTGCTTGCGAACGTATACACAACTCATTGACCGGTACCTATTCCTACTAATGCATACAATTTTAAACATTATCGGAATAACAAGAAATAAAGAAAGTATGTATCCATTATTATCGACATCTGAAACACAGTTAGCTTTTAATTTTTTTTTAATTTTAAAAATTGAAAATAATTTTTTATTGTTCATCATTCTATTACTTCACGTATAATCTACTATACGTCTAATCTACTGGACTGCAGAAAACCTAGTGAAATTTTAGGAGATCTAATTTATCCTCGAGGGAGGATAAGACCCCCAAGCTCCATCTTATTTGCACCTATGGATGTTACACTGTGGTCCACTAGGCATCATATATGTTTGTACGTGTTAAATTGTTCATCTTAAAATAATAATCATGTGATGTTAAAATTTAATTCAATAAACTGAAAATCACTAAAAGCTTTGACGACAATATCCCAAGGTATTTAAAAATAACATAAAAAAGCTTAGTTCTGCTTGCAAATCCATGATAATGCCAGCGAGTAAACCTCCTTTTTTATTGGAGTTGTTAGACAACAGAAAATTAAGTATTAAGTTAAGGTAAATTAGCTTAGAGCACCAGGTTACTACTTGATATTAAAATATATATTAGTTATTTGTATAATTAACCTAAAAGTGTTTATTAGTATTAGTTATTGTGGTAATAACGTTTTAATTATAGATTTTTCAGTATGTTACTTTAATTATCGAATAAATTGAATAAATACATTGGAGGTTAGTATTATCATTGTATAAAATGATACATTTGATGGCATTTTAGTTGCCTATTTAAAATTTAAGGAGTAACTCATTATAAGTTGCCTACAGATTGGATCTTGGCGTACTTGTCTTTTTTTTCTTTTAACTTGAATTATATATTTATTTATTTTGAAAAGTAATTTAAGTATAATTTTTTATATGTACAACCTTATTTTTATATGGTTTTTAGAAAACTTATTTAGAGCATCTCATTGCATTAGTTGTTATTATTTCATTAGTTTAATTATTTAAAGGATAATCCCATATATGTAGAATATTAAATTTGATTGATTTCAAATAGATAGTTTCTTTTATTGATAAAGTAGGATGTGATTACTAAATTAATTTATTGAATAATTATATTCAATAATAATAATTATATATATATATTACAATGTCTGAAACAACAAGTGAACGTTTAATGCGCCTGAAACGACAATACATTAAGAAGCGCGATGGAGCAGTCAAGCGTTTACAAGCTATTTATAAACTCTGTGAAGACGCATCAGTTAATAGCCAAGTGATACCAAAGTTTATAGTAGCTGCTAGAGACACCGGTAGTCAGTGGACGGTGTTTACTTGCGAGTGCAATTCTTTATTGGACATTTTGTGTGGGCAGGACAAAATGGATAATTTTCCTGATGGCTTAGAAGTCACTATACGTGATTTATATTATTCTATAATTGCTACTAATTTAGAAAAATTGGATGACGGTGGTGGTTCTGTACGGTCAGGCACTAACAATAATCCAATAATTAATGGGAATGTTATTCAACAAGAAACCGTTACTTTTGAAGATTGTAATTGTTTGCCTAAATTATATTACCATCCTTTCAAAGTGATATTTACAAATGGCCGACGTTTAAAAATAGATTTCTGAATTTAATTGGAAATAAATAAAAAATTAACGATAATGAACAATTTTATTATTTAATGGGATATTTATCGGGGAAAGTGTTAAAGGTATCAGTGACTATGATGGCAATTTTGAATTAGCCAGGACAATGCTAAAAGAGAGGTTTGATAGGCCACTTCAGATAGCTAATAGTTTAGTTAAGAAAATGTTGTGCGCACCTGTAGCAAAGATTGCAGACATTAATTCATTGCGGGCATTTTAATCAATTTTGATTAAAATTTGAATAATCAAT